CGCATATGCTGAGAATATACTGTATTTGCATTTGGTACATTCTCAGAATATGCTAAGCATATACTACGTGACGTTGTTTATACGTGCTAAGCAGATGCTGAGAATATACTTCAAGTATGTGTACAGTATGCAACAGGTATCTACTTTAATTTGATAGTACGTTCTAAGTATATGCTAAGTATTTAAATATAGCATATGCTAGGCATATACTAGACACCTTAATACAGGATGTTTATTTAATATTGAATATTAAAGAATAAGTGTATATAATGAGTCTTTATTTCAAAGAATTCATACTTATTTTTATTACAAATACTATCTTTGGTTTTAACCAATCAATATTTTATTGTATCAATGGCTTGAGTTTCATTTTCTTGATTCCATTGGATCTTCATTAAACCTAAAAAATTAAACAATTAACAAACTTGGTACACATACAAATTAAGCTAATGGGATATTTTAAATATTTTTGTCGAACATAAAACATTAAAAATTGTACATGGCATTCCACTAACAAAAACAAGAGTTACATAAATGATTATGATGTTTACTGAAAGTTTAAATATATTTTTGTTAATTACTTACCACCATTTTGTAGTTTTCGTCCTCTTTTAGCTAACTTTTCTAGTTCTTCCAGGTCAATATCTGGCCTTACAGGATTTTTTTATAGAAAGTGTGTATGTAATTCTGGTAACACTGTATTTTAGTTTCAATCCACCATTACTAGTATTAACTATATTAATAAATTCACACTGGCAATTAATATTTGGGATATTCTGTATTCTAACGTCACTTATAAGTCCTAAAAACTATAAATATAGTAAAATTTGTTTATTTTCATATAGAACATACGATGCAATTACTTTTTATTAATTGACTTACCTCTTACAAACAAACGATATCAAAAAAATTTGTAGGAATTGTAGGTTGGGTAAATTATCCTGTGGGATATAGCAAAATCAAAGTATGTGGATATAGCCCAATAAAGGAAGAAGAAGAAGAAGGAATTGTAGGTTATGTGTTATGTTATTCTTCTTCTTTTCTTCTAATTTAGTTTGAGAATGTTTTTTGGCCTAAACATTCAACATTAGTGCGTTTGGTAGCGAATTATTAGATCGGCATCTGGGAAAAATTCATATAGATATGTATATAAACTTGTTTTTACATGTATTTGGTGTTAGTTTTAATCTGCAAGCAGTTAGAACATTCTCAGAATATGAGGTACATGCTGGGTATATGACTTTTAGTATCTTCTAAGAATGTCCTGTTATAGCACGTGCTCAGTATATACTGTTTGGAATATACTTTTAAGGCACGTACTCAGTATATACTTTCTACAATATACCTTCAAAGTATATTCTAGGTATGTTCTAAGAACATTCTAAAAGGATATACTAAAAAGAACTTAAACAGAACGTTCTTGGTATATTCATAGAACATTGATGTTATGTGGGGGTAGAAGACCCTTTTAGATTAATCTTATACAAATACAGTAATTCTGCACAACTAAGGAGAAGCACTATGGTTTCCCTTAGTAAATATTTCCGTTTTCATTTTTAAAATAGAGATTTTTAGGTTTGGTAATAAAATCGCAACCTGGATTAAAAACTTAAATTATTTCGTTATAATACTCTGGTTTTTGGTTTTTCTTTTTTTTTTTCATATTTGTTTCCAGTTTTATTAAAAACATTTTTTTTTATAATATGACTTGTGAATGAACAAAATGTTTTTTTTTTTAAATATTCAGGTACATATTGTAAGAGAGAAGACATGAAAATATATATATTTTTAACTACCTACTTAATTTATGCAACAAAAATAATTGACCGAATTATTATTGATATTTTGTCTCTTGCCAGAAAAAAAATAATTAATATTATTTTTTATAAAATTTAAAATATTGGGCTTGGCAACGATGTAATATACCTAAAAAGTGAATTGAAAGTAAGCCCAACGTAGCATTAAAAATAAGAAAAAGAATATATTTGACAGTTAATTATTACTAAATTTTTTATTACTGACACAAGTTATAATTTTAACCAAATAATACAGAAAAGATTAAAAATAACATTCAGTTATTTTTATAACCCATGATTAATTTTAACAAGATCATTACAGAATAGACCCCTTTTAGAATTATTAATATTCTATTTCCTTCTACCAGTAGTTGGGGAATTTTAAGAAAAAATATGTACCTGTTTATTCAAATCTCGTTTATAAATTATGGTGACTAAAAAAAAGAATATTGATAAACAAACTCAGTAAAAATAAAATAATTAATTTAATTTCAAATTCCAATTATTATAGTTGATTTGTCAGTAATAACGGCTATATGTTTTGTGCTATCGAGGTAATTGTTGTTCTTATGCTGAAAGAAACACTAACTTTTACAGAAGCGTCTGGACCATTAAAATGTTGCAAGGATTTGTTTTTATAATTATTCTGATAGACACTAGATAGGTATATAGCTCGGGTTTTCAAAGTTATTTTAGATATTGTTCACTCCTTAAAAGTTATAAGATCTAGTAAATACTAAACTCTTCTTAATCGACATTTTAAATTCTTGATCGGATGGGTGGCACAAAATTGATCGAAAACATTTGATCGAATACATTTGATCGAAAACATTTGATCGAATACATTGGATCGAAAAAACATTTTATCAAATTATAATTGATCGAAACGAAAAATGATCGAACAGAAAAATGATCAAAAAGAATAATGATCGAAAAGAAAATTGACCGAAAATAGATTTGATAGAAAAATCAATTGATCGAAAAACCAAATATTCATAAAATTATAGAATAATAAGAAAAATGAAAACAAAAATTTTAACTAATTTACCTAACCTGTGTGGCCTAGAATCATCGCTGGTTGCTTGGCAAAAACAAAAAATTAAAAATATAATAAAATTAAGGAACGTACCTAACTAACCCAACTTGTGCGAGAGCAATCAATTAAATTTGAATAGCTAAGGTTAGGTAAATTAGTTTTTTTATTTTTTTTGCGAGGCAAACCGCAACGTTTTTATACTGGAGCAATTTAACCAATTGCTCTAATACAGGTTAGGTAAGTTAGTTAAGTTTTATAAAAATAAATAAAAATAAAGAAAACCTAACTAATTTACCTAACCTGTGCGGCCTGTGGCAATTTAACTGATTGTTCTGACAGAGTTTAGGTAAGTACAGGTACTTAGCTAAAACTTAACTAACTTACCTAACATGTGTCAGAGCAATTAGTTAAATTGCTCCAAGCCGTACAGGTTAAGTAAATAGGTTAGGTTTTCTTCATTTTCCCTTTTTTTACAATATTTTTTGCGAAGCCTCCCTCGAGGGCTCCAGGCCGCACAGGTTAGATAAATTAGTTAAAGTTTTTGTTTTCAGTTTTTTTATTTTTCCATAATTTTTTGCAAGGATAACCGCGCAATATCCAGGACGTACAGGCTAGGTAAATTAATTAAATTTTTTAAAATAAAAAAACTAAACTAACTTATCTAACATACGCGAGAGCAATCAGTTAAATTTAAATAGCACAGGTTAGGTAAATTAGGTAAGTTTTTATTTTTCCATTTTTTGTATAATTTTTTTTTTGCGAAGCAACCCTCTAGGGCTCCAGGCCGCACAGGTTAGGTAAATTATTTAAAATTTTTGTTTGAATTTTTCTTATTTTTCTATATTTTTTGCGAGGCAAACCACGACGGTTCCAGGTCGCACAGGTTAGGTAAATTAATTAAATTTTTTATATAAAAAATCTTAAAATAATTTACCTAAAATGTCCCATCGGGATACAACTCGACCTTATTGAAATACATATTTTGTGCGATTTAATCACATTTTTTTTAATCCTAATGAAGATAACCGTTTAGATCTAAAATAATTATTTTTAAATGAACAGTATTGTAAGGATAAAATTTGTTAAACGAGGTAGCTATCATTTGAAATGATTGAAAAATTTGCACTTAGTACCTAATTTTGATAGCAGCTTAGTTTAGTTTCCCTGGTAGTAGGGATTAGACGGACGGTTGAATAGTATCGTTTGATTTTTTGATATTTTACTATTTTTAATGTTGATTTTCAATATATTGTCCTTTCGATCTAATGAATTTTCGATCTATTGTCTTTTCGATAAAATGTTATTTGATAAAATATATCTTCGATCAAATGTTATTCGACCAAATGTATTTTCGATCAAATTTCATTCGAATAAATGTATTTTCGATCAAATTTCCAATTCGATCAAATGTTTTTCGATCAATTTTGTGCCACCCTGATCGGATACACTTATAAGCCACTTCAATTTTGCTAAATATGCCGCATATTTTGGCTAGCGATGTAAACATTGTGCTAAGTTAACCTTTTATTGATACTTTTTTTCAGTAGGTGTAAATAAAACAATAGTTAAGAAAAATATAATAAATCTATCAATCTAAATCTACTTATCCAAGTTAAATATTTATTTAAGTAAAACTTAATTCAAATATATTAGCACCAAAAAGTCGCACCATTTGAGCATCATAAGCCGCGTACACACCTGAGCATTCGTATGCGGTATCGCGTACTCGTCTAAACCGAACAATAGTAGCGATACACATGAGCTTTCATTCGGACCCCTCCATGAATGCTCCGATTATTTCTAATTACTGTTTTCGGGTGAGATCTATCGTCATGTCCATTAGATTCACGTATATTCTGCTAACCGTCTGCTTCCGAAACCTACTTCTTCCGTAACAATGAGTAGATTTGAGCGCGTACGCCGCACTCACTCACTTTGATGTACCGACAAGATTTTGATCGGACTGAGCCTATTCGCTGCACGTTACTTAGGCGTCCACAACTGAATGCTTAGTCGCGCTCGTCTTGCTTATTTTGTCTGAATGCATAGTCAGATATGTACGTGCCTTAAGAATAACAAATACTTTATTGTTTATCACTATTCTCTTTTAAAGTATTATCTAGCTAAAAAAAAATTGTTTCCATAAATATAAAATTTTTAAAATCTAGGAACAGAGAAGGTACCTTCCATAAAGAAGAGTGCAAGTTATGTTTCGATTACTAGGAACCACAGTTCTGGTGATTTATTGGAGGTTCAGCACAATCTGGCTTTTATGAAAAAGATACCACCAGGTGCAGAAGCAAGTAACATTTTAGTGGGAGAGGTTCCTTTCTTGGAAAAGACATTGTCTGCTTTCATCAGACTCGACAATGCCATCATTCTTAGTGATTTGACTGAAGTACCAGTACCAACCAGATTTCTTTTCATTCTACTTGGTCCTTCCACAGCAACTGCAGGTAATAGATGAATGTGTAATTGACTCCAAAGTATCCAATGCCAACCTTCTTCTTTAGATCTGAATCTATATTATGACAATATGTTTATAAAAAATTTATTTTTTTAATATTCCCTAAATTAACTTTTCATATCAATAAGACTATCTCAATTATTTATATTTAAAAATGTTATGTGGGGGATTTTCAAATTTAAAATTTGCAATGTTAATTTTAATATGAATATGTAATAAATAAAAGACTGAGAATTAAGTATACACTAGACACTCTGATTGAGCTATACGTATAACAACTATTTATGCAACCAGTTACGAAATGCCTTATTTTGTGAAACGAGTAAATATTTGCTGGAAAAGAAAGTAATACTGGTTGCCTAGATGTCAGTAATTTTTTATCAGAACACAATTTAAAAAATAATCTAGTTTCAGTTAGAAAAAATATTGTCAGTTTACGAAATATGGTTTTGGGTTACTCGTTTATGTTGCGGTACCTCGCTTTGCTCGATCGGCAAATATTCACTTGTTGCATCAAATAATACATTTCGTAACTGGTTGCATAAATAGCTATTTCGTAACCAACATTATGCAACTGGTTCAAAAAAGGTCACCTTATATGTCAAAATTAAAAAAATATTTAATAAAATTAACTTTTGGTTTAAGGTCATTATCAAATCCTTCGTGGTCCATTAGTATGAAAAAGTCCAATATCTCCAGCACCGTTGGAGATATAAAAAAACATTTGCAGAATGGAATACCATTAAACGCCAGATTTTTAGTTTATTTTCGAATATACACCACGGTGTCCTATATTTAGAGTATCTATAATATTGGAATCTCGCTTAAGGGGAACATAGTACTTTATTCTCGAAAAAACCAGGAAAGCTTAAAATAGGATATTTATTAGTCTATGGGTTTTAAAAACTCTTTATTTTTAATACGATTTACATGGTCTTATTTTACTATAATTAAAATACAGATAAGCAAATCGTTTAAATTCGTATTAAAAATAAAGTGTTTTCAAGACACATACACCCGTCCCTCACTAATAAAAAGGTGAACACCTCTACTGAATTTCAGCTATTAATTTCTACTTGACTGGTTGTGGAATTTTTTAAATTTTATTTAATTTTACGTCAGCAATATAAGCCATCCTGTATACCAGGGTTGGCCAACAAGTCAATCGACCAAAATTTTAATATTCCCACAATTTTTCCCACGTTCGTTTTCATTTGAAATCAGTTCTTGATTAAAAAAAATATACATTTTGTTTTATAAAAATGTATTTAAACTTAAAAATAACAATAAACAAAATTAAAAAAGTACCTACCTAGCTAATCTGGTAAAAAATTGTAAAATAAAAAATATATTTTTTTAGTTTAAAAATCAATCAGTGTGAACCTTAAAAACTATTTTGTTGTTTAAATGAATACATACTTCTTAGATAGTTTGTTCTTTCTTGATTTTAAATATAACACAAGTGCTAGCACTGTTTTGTAAGAAAATGTCATGATTTTCCTATACAATCGACCCCCAGACATGTATAACGCACAAATCATTAACTCGGAAAATCACAAACAAAGAATAAATAGTATAAGATCAACCAAAAACAACGTGGTCAAGTCGAATTATCACATTATAAATTTATTTTAATGTTTTTCTTCAAAAATAAACGTGGTCAAGAAGAATTCCCATATTTTAAGTTTATTTTAAATTTTTTTTCTTTTTTCTCATTTCCATATTTTTATAGTAAAAATTTCCATAATGTATGGAAATTTTTACAGATTGACAACACTGATGTTATACCAAACGCAACGCAGGAAATAGAATGCCAGTATCAAAAGTTAGATCTGGAATTGTATTTTCTTCATGAGCCTATATCTCGAAAACAATAAGTAATTAGAGAAATAAAAAATTGTTTTGAACATATATTTAACTTATCTACACAGTGTATAAACATAGTATGCATTTCACACACCTTCTTCCCCCGTAAAATACGCCTATTCGCTCCGTGCGCGACCGCAGTGCCAATTCGTTTTGGTATTAATGGACTATTTCTGTGTATACTGACAAATACAATTTTTAATAGAATTCGTAATTAAAAAGTATATGTTAGTTTTAATAAAAGTATATGGATTTGTAAAACAAGTAAAACATTAATTTTTTATTATTATTATATATATTTTAACGCTTAAATTAAAGAAAATTATGTATAATCAATGAAAATCAATAATAAAATGAATCGTTTATTTCAGAAACAACCTAAGTCACTTGTTGGTCATATTGGATTTATCACATTAACATTGTAGTTTCAGAGGAATCCACATATATTGCAGAAAAACCTAACTACCGTTAACATCCTTAGTTATACGACAATTTAAAATTTTCGTTTATTTCTGAAGCAACCTTAGTCCTAGTCTTAGTTCAATACGTTTTTTCACATCCTGAAATTTCTTAAAAAGTGACTTAGGTTGTTTCTCAAATAAACGATTCAAATATAGGCAGGCAACAGTATTTTCTGGAAAATGTATGAGAAGTTGCCTAAGTCTAATAAGTTGTCATTGAAGAATTAGCCTGTTGTCAAAATAAAAAAATACCATTTATTAATAGCATGAAGTTAAAATGTATAAAAAAAGCATCGCTATTTATATTTTCATTTTTGTTCGAAAGAAAACATAGAATGAATGATTAAAACTGGTTTCTCATCAGTAAGTCACAAAATTACATTCCATCCACATATAATAATCAAAGGCAGAAATCTTGAAATCTAGTCCTTTCTGAATGAACATTTAAGAATAAAAGGACATTAAAGAACATCGTAAAATGATAATTTATTGTTTATTTAAAACCTTTCAAGTTTCTGATGTCTACTATTTACAGCATTACTGTTATTATTTCAAAAATAAAGGTAATTTTTCTTCTTATTGTACATCTATCCATTTATTTCTTTGATTTAATTTCCACTTTGCTACTGACATTTTTTATATAAGTTTCACTGTTTTTTTTTTGCTAGTATTTGTACAATTGTCAACACAGCAACTCCGGTTGCTTATTGTATTGTATGTACCTACTTTTTTGAAAAAAAGTAAAATGTATACGTGTATTTGATATGCCAAAATTACAAAATATCGCCCTAAAATGCACGAATTATCCGCAGCTAGCGCTAGTATCGCTTTTGCTTCCCTTTCCATGACTTCGCACGGAGCGAATAACAACAAGTCGATCGCGACACACTTTTTAACCGACTTCAAAAAAGGAGGAGATTCTCAATTCGTCGGAATATATTTTTTTAAGATGTACAGAAAAATTGGTCACCTCTACTGTATATACATTTTTGGCCAATGTTGAAATTTGTGAGAGTCTTTTTGACTGAATGTGTACGCCCAATCACTTTAAATTAAAACGTTCAGTTTATCATATTTCAAGCTTTTCTTGTTTTTTTTTTTTTGGGAATAAGGTACTATGTTTTTATAATATAGGAGCTAGAAGGGTAATTGATTTTGTACACCAACATAACGTTGACGACAATATAGATGAACTGTTCTGATCTGAATTAGGGTCTTACCATTATGAAAGAGCAACTCAAAATAACTCTTTTATACCATTACAAGAAAACCCCCTAATTTATCTCAGCCCCGCCGAAATTTTGAATTTTTGAGCATTTCAATCTAGAGGGCGGCAAACGAGAAACAACTATAGCGCAAAAAATTTAGAAAAATACGCAAAAAAAATGTTCATGTCGGCTATGATTTATTGAATAATGTTCGCAGAAAATTGTGACTAGTTGAGGACCACGTGACCCTTTATTTAGTTTATGGTAATAATAATAATAATAATAAAAGTTTAACTAAGTTACTTATTAGTTAAATATTTTGTGCCAAAACTATTGGGACATACGCTAGTGCCATAGTTATCGGACTTTTTAACAATAAAGGATGACCCTGCATATAACGAAGGATTTAATGATGGCTTTTAGCCGAAAGCGCTAAGTTGAATTATGTTAAATAATTTTATGTCATACTAGTTCATTATTGTTTTTATTGCTTAGTTACAAACTATCTAATGTCGTAATTTATGCCCGCGCGGGCATAAAGAGAAATAATTTTTTGTTGAACTTATTTAATAACCTATATTAATAAAATTACAAACGGAATATAGTAATATATGTAAATATTCGATGAACATTATTTTGACGAATTAACATAAATTTGGCAGTTCTGAAAAGATCCGGTGATAGTTAAGTTGCCTGCAGCAAACGATTCATGTTTCATTGTTTGAGTATCAAATTTCTGTACCAAAACGCCAGACCGGGAAGGTACACCTGCCAGCATTCTTAAAACTTCATTTTTTGAAGATAAACTACCCTCTAAATATCCTTCAGTAACCGACGTACTCTTCCATCCACCATGGCTCTTCAACGTGGTCATCCGAGAATACCGATCAAGGAGAAGCGACAGTAGCTGCCGGTGCCTTTGATATCGGATGTACCTTTTTCACAGTATGACTTTGACTGATACACAACTTAGCACGCTAAGAAAACATGCTTATTTTCTACACTGAGCGAAATAGTTTGGCAAATTATCTGAAATTATTGTTATAGTCCATGCGCAAATGTTGCAATGTGATTTAATTACATTGAAGTAGTTAGGGTTAATAGCAATGCTGAAATTTCGGCACCAAAATATAATTTATTATGTAATAATTAATTATTTATTATAAAAGTAAAAGACGTTTATTATTTTATAATTTATCTATAAAATTTGTTCAATATTTGGTTTATTTACTGTTAAAAATGTAATAAAAGCCCCATATTTAAATCAAATTACCTTTTCCCTAACTAAAAATAAGGTAAATAAAATTAAGGGTGTCAAAAAAAATTTAGGTAACAATTAAAAAGACATTAAGTTTGAGAGGTTTAACTAAATATTTGCAATGTGCATATATTTTCAAAGCTTTTAGGTTTAAAAAGTACTTACATATTTTTAGAATTTCTAGATTTATATTATATTAAAAGGACTTTGAAGTTTTTCACTCATTTCTGTAGAAACAAGTGTTTTCTCGCCAAGTTAAACCAGATGTCATTTAAGGTTTATGTATTTAGAGTTAAATACCTGGCCTGGCTATTACCCAGACAATACAAATATGTCCATTGGAAGTCCATTCGATATACAATTTTGGATGTCTAGACGTCCAAAAATGAGTTTTCTGGACTTCCGACATCCAATGGACGTCCAATGAAGTATATAAATAGCACACTTTTGACCATTCAGAGGACGTCCAATTCTGGAATATATTCGGACGTCGAATACTGGACATTCAAAAACTTTCAGGATTATATTTCCATTGAGACCACATACCCACTTTTTAACAGAACCGCAACTCACCACACACTATTTTATATTTATAATAATTTGTTTATTATTTTCGCAAATCGCTATACACTATTTATTTATTTTTTATTAAAAATCGCTTGACCTGAGCAGGAATCGAACTCACGACACATCTATTATCGTATTACGCTTTCAATCGCTAGACGAGCTCGACCAAGGAACCACTTGAAAACTGTTTACTAGATACAGTTATAATTGAATAAGATTTCAAACTTCCGCTGATAGAATGAAATGCAATAGATTCAATTTGTCAATTTTTAATGACTAGTTATATTAAAAAAAAGAAGTATGTATAGATGGGTATTATCTGGTAGCTTAATAAATAATGACCTAAGATGGACGTCCACTGGACGTCAAAATACTACTGAACTTAAAATTAAGTCCAAAAACAGACGTTCTCTGGGTATCGATATTCAGCTGTCAATTTAATTAGCATAAACGGACGTACACTGGATGCCCGGATATGGACGTCCTGACCCTTAAATAGATCTAAAGTGGACGTCCATTGGACTATGTGTGCATAGACGAATTTTTAGAAATAGTACTTATTTAAGTATGCACCAAAATTTCCAAAATCAACTCCAGTATGATTCATTCAATAAATGTAAATATGAATGGGCAAAACATCTTTATATTGACATAATTGTAACTTGCAATTTAGCCATAAAAAAGGGATTTTGCCCACTTTGACCAATTCTAATTGGAATACGCGAATTTATTATATTTTTTTAAACAATTTCAAAATAAAATAAACAAAATCTGCAGTTCATTGTTTATTAAATGTATTTAAAAGAAGAAAAACATATATTTCACAAAATACAATACCAACATATGAAAAATAAAATGATTAAATCATTATACTTAATATTTATGCATGTGATAAAATTTTTAGTTTCCTAATAACTTTTTTGGCACATTTTATATCTGTATTAGAATACCTAAGTGTGTAAAAATCTTCATCTTATTACTACACAAAACAAACACCAAAAAATATCACTTAACATTGCTCACGTACTAAACACAACTTGGACTGACTTTGACAGATAACATAATTTTGAGTGATACATAACTTATTTTCGCACATGCGCGTTACAAAACGGTACACTAAAAACACCGAGCTGTCGCTTCTCCTTGATCGGTATTCTCGGGTGGTCATACTGGCTCAAGCCTCTGCAAGAGTTGCTGACGTTCGATGCATACATATTTCTCAGGATCACTTAAACCCAGATATTTCGCAATAATGGACGAGGTTTTTCCAAACGTGTTTTTTCCTACTGGCTGTACAGTACATCGACCTTGTCTAAAGGTCAGAAAAAGCCTTTTTCTGAGGAACCACGTGGCCGTAGTGACATATAGCTTTAAACTGTTCATTTCACCCTCATCTATAATGATAAAAATGCGTTTTTTATCGGTCTTTGTCTCTGGTACATTTACCACAAAAACCGATTTTCTATCTTCTACATGAGTAACTAACATGTTCACAAGTTCTTGCCGTCGACATCCACCAAATATTCCAAATATTAATGCAACTTTGTCCATTAAAAACGTTCGGTGCCTTATGAATAAATTTTAAAACATCTTCTCTAGACAGAATTTTGGACTTCTTTGGTTTGTAGCCTTTTGAAATTTGCTTTAAATATTTCGTTAACTTTTGGTAATTAGCAATGTTAATATTTTTATTTACTATTAAAGTCTTCTTTACCATTGAATATTTGGAGCACAAGGAACTCGGAGAAAATGTTTTGGCGAGATCGCCGAAGTATCCAAGCAACACATTAACATCTTTTACGTAGTTTTCTTGCATCCAATTTAATAATTTTTCGTATTCCATGTCGTAACCTTCTTTAGACTTTTTTGGCAACAGATTTTCAGTTGCTTTCTTTGCTTTTTCAATAATTTCGTCAGGAATTCCAAAATCTTCGTTCATTTTGACTTCTAACTTTGACACAAAAATTATTGTGATTTTATGACATTTACGTTTGCCAACATTCACCTAGCAACGATAGTGTCTACTATGATAAAATGGCAATTTTATTAATTCAAACCGGATTTTTTAAAATACTGATTTATATTGAGATTGGATTGCAATAACAAACTAGTATGACATAAAAGTTTGTATGTACCTTGGGCATAAACAGATGTTTATTCCCTCGGGCGACTTACAAACCCTCGGGCCAGAAGCCCTCGGGTTCGTAAGACGTCACCCTCAGGGCATACACATCTATTTATACCGTTGGTACATAAATAACTATTATGCCCGACCGGGAATAGTGGTGATAGAACTGGCTAAATTTAAGTTCAACACCCTATATATTATTTTACCATAAAATTTCTTAGAATACCAATATGTTAGTCAATAACACATATACAGGGTGTCCGATTAGTGCGCAATTGATCGATAGCTGTTTTATTATTGGAAATAAGAAAAAGAAATAATATAAAAGTTGTATGACCATGTTTATTAAATATTAAATAAACAGGGTAGTACATAAACGAGGTGCTGATAAAATCTATACTTTTTTAAAGCAAAACATCTTGCAACATATTTGATTATTTGATTGTTTTCACATCGTCAAACAATTTTAATAGACTTGTGTCAAAACGTGAGGTTACGATTTTCTCCATTTTTTTAAATGAAATACCCTGTATTAATTAATTGGTGGTATAAAATATAGGGTATTTCATTTAAAAAATTAAGAAAATAGTTATCCCGCATTTTCACATACCCTGTGTATATACAAGATAGCAAATAAATGAAGTCTATTAAAAATTTTTGACGATGTGAAAACAATCAAATAATTAAATATGTATAACTACAAAAAAAGTATAAGTTTGGTCCGACCTTCGTGTATGGGCTACCCTGTTTATTTAAGAATATTTATTAAACATATTGATACAACTTTTATATTATTTTTTGCTTGGCAACATTGTAATATTTTTTTAAAAAAATTAAGGAATGAATGTAGTATTACCAAAACATCCAAAAAATAAAAGATACAGTGTGTTCTATTTAAAAAACATAAATTTTTATTTGCCAGACAAAAATACAATTACTTTATATATCCAAAAATATTTTTTAAATTACTTTCTTTCAAATCCATATAACTTTTATTTAAAACTTTTTGAAGTGTCTATAACACAAATTGAAATATTGAACAATTACGCACTAATATTTGTTAATAAATTATCATTAAAAGGGTCGTGCATAAAATTTTGTATGTATTTCGGGAGTAAACAGAGTTTATGGACCTTACGTGGTAATATACCTCGTCTAGCGGCTAGGGGGTCTTACTTACACGTTGCGGTCCATAAACGCGTTTTACGCCCTTGATACATAAATATTACACTGATGTGCTCTCCTGAAGATGAAATAGGCAACGCAATCATCAGAGACCAACATTTTGGGTCAAACTGTATTTTATGATTAATTTTTACCAATTTATGCTGCTATTTGATTAAAAAAGAAACCTATGTCGATGTCCACTCATTAGGTTACAGTAAACAAAAGCATACTTTTTTAGAAGAAAGAATATTGTTGAATAAGAATGTTCCTCCCTCAAATGTAATTCTGTAAATAAAATTAATGGGAAGAGGATGTGCCAGTAAGAAACATTAACTCAGTCTTGATAAAGACGTAAATTAAACGTCGAAACTTCGACAAATTATGAAGAGTTAATGTTTCTTATTGTTAACTTCATCCACATAGAAAATACATTTTTTATTATGTAGGTTACCACGAAATCGGTCGTGCCATGGCAACGCTAATGTCAGATGAAGTGTTTCACGAGGTTGCCTATAGAGCCAGTAATCGTAGCCACCTGTTAGCAGGAATAGATGAATTTCTTGATGCAGTAACAGTATTACCCCCCGGAGAATGGGACCCAGCCATCAGAATAGAACCTCCAGCAGCGATCCCCTCTCAAGATGCTCGTAAGCGACCGCCTGAAAAATTAGTTGAAGAAGTTGATGAAGAAGAGGAAGAACAAAGGCAACGAGAAGAATCTGGACTATCTAGAACCGGGACGCTTTTCGGGGGCCTAATGAATGATATTAAAAGAAAAACTCCTTTTTATTTCTCAGATTTTAAAGATGCCCTAGCTCTACAATGTATAGCTTCATGGATTTTTTTATATTTTGCCTGCTTATCTCCCATAATTACGTTCGGGGGACTTCTGTCAGAAGCAACGGGTAAAAATATGGCAGCGATGGAATCTTTAGTATCTGGATTCGTGTGTGGGATTGGTTATGGATTCTTTTCGGGGCAACCTTTAACAATTCTTGGATCTACCGGACCAGTATTAGTATTTGAAACGATAGTTTATGAATTTTGTAAAACAATGCAATGGGACTATATGTCGTTTAGATTTTGGATAGGAACGTGGATAGCAATAATTTTAATGATTTTAGTCGCCATCGATGCTAGTGCATTTGTATGTTATATTACCAGATTCACTGAAGAAAATTTCGCTACGCTTATTGCGTTTATATTTATTTACAAGGTTAGTATTTTAACTCATACGTATTAATTTATAACTTTAATCACATAAAGACCATATAATAAATCTTACCTATTTTTTATCAACAAAATAAAACTAGAATAGTGTTTAGAAAGAGATAGTGTTTCATCTATGATTTGATTAGATTTGATATTGGCGCGTTTTTATTGGTTTTTTGTACAAACTGCGCCGATGCAGCAGCATTTCGTGTCTTAATAGGCGTATTCAACTATTGACACTATTTTAATAAAATAGTATAAATATAGGATACAGTGTTTAAAAACTAAAACAAAATGGACAAAAAGGCTATTTCGTGGGTGAACCGAAAATATGAAAGTAAAATTAGCGATCATAGTAAAGGAAATTTTCCTGTGAAAAATTTGAATAAAACTAAAAATTGATATGGTGGTTCATTTCCATATCCTAATAATCCTCTTTCAATTGCTTCCGGCTAATCTGGCTTGCATTTTGTCAGGGGTATTTTTTTAAAAGGAGTCTAATTTTTTAAAACTCTTCAGAAATGGCTATTCTAAAATGAAAAATTATATTCCAGTCTCTATCCACGATACACATACTAACGGTATGCTGACTTTCGATTCAAAATTCGTTCAAACCGCGCAATGACGTAATGCGGGACGAACTTTCAAGTTATTTTGACACTTTTCCATTGAATAGTGTAAAATAATTTAATATTTATTTTTGTGTTTGTGTTAGTGTTAGTGACTATATTTTCCTATATATAACAGAGAAGAACTAAATTAATGTTTAAAATATCGGGCTGCGCGGTGGAAATATTTCCGAATGCCACAAAATATGGGTAAATTCTTATCGAAGAAAGGACAAACTTAATTGAAGTTGCACTATCCACTTTGAGGAAAGTAGTTGTGAGATTCCTCTTAAACATAGACGCAAGAAAAGAAAACTGAATTCCACCAGATGCACGGGCCTCATTAAGCAAAGAAAATAAATCGGTATTTTAAAATTTTAGCAGATAAAACAGTAGTTCCCTGTCCCAATGTAACGGTCCTTTTGAAGTAATGCCATGCATGGGCAGGATACATATATAAGAATAAGATAAATGAACAAAAAAAAATGGTTTTGAGTATTTTCAAAGTAAACTTGACAAAAACTGTTTAAATTAACCAAATAAAAAGTAATTGTTCTGTGTACTTACTTTAAATAAATAAATAATTTGTTTCTGCACACTTATTTTTATTTCACATAATAAGAAAAGAGATTGCAAGAGAACTACTACGCCCAGAAACTATAAATTTAAGTCAAACGTGTATTTTTAGTCTATATTTTTTACTTTCTTATGGCCAGGTTATGGATTTTGTCACAAAGTGCCTATAATTTATGAGAAAAATTAATATTTTTATTAGTATTATTACCTTAAATCTTTATATTTGTAAACGAATATATTACAATATAAACAATAAAGCTTAAGTAACAGCATACAATCTAAAATTTGCAAAATATCGAATTTTAAACACTATCTCTCATTTAATGCTTATAATGTCCCACGTGACGTCACAGTCAGTTAGCTGCATGCGCAGAAACATACAGTTAGTCTGTGCGACCTTTTGTCAGTTGGAATCAGTTTTTCGTTATTAACGAAGCGAGTTAACATACGATTCGAATAAAATTCGGGTAAATATGTTCATCAGAGCATTTATTTTAGTACATATGCAAAATTTCAGCGCTCTACGACAACTTTTACGATTCATGATACCATTGTATTTAGATAGCCTAGTAAAACACTCTTATGAACATTTCATTGGAGGTAATCCTGTCGCAACATCTGTTAGGACAATCAAAACTTTATCAAAATGGCCCGTCCGCTAGCGCTCCCTCGATCATTGAATACAGAATTAAATATACATAGTTTTCTTTATTTTTAAATTTATTTGAGTAGGTCTCCATATTTAAATAAATATTGTTATATAAATCGTAAATAAATTTACATTAAAAATAATAAAATTGGTATATCTCATTTTTAAAACAAATATTTTGTTTATACTTAATCGACTAACGGTCCATCTATTAGTAAATAGAGAAATTACGTTCGTTATTAAGTTTCGGCAATCGTTTAATGGTTCTTTAGAAGATGACAAAATTATTAAAGACATGACTCGGATACGATGGAGCTTGCTAGTGTTCATTGTCTTCCAAGATAATTTTCATTGAGATTGTTCATACATTATTCGCAGTAAAAATCATCATTTAGAAAATATAAAATAGACTAAATTTTTGATTGAATTTCGAAAAGCATTTTGTTTAATAAGTTTCCAAAGAAAATTATAATTGTATCAAAATAGGTGCAAAATTGGTGAATTGTAAAAACAGCCGATTTGAGCGCTCGCCATTCCCATAATTGTCTAGCTATCGACTCGCACAAATAATTATTGTAAATTGTATTTACTCAGATATAATGCAGTTTTTGAAAAATTTTAATACTACTATCCGTTCGGCCCACAGCGCTCGCGAAATAAAAACAGTGCAAAACATGGGAGCGTGCCCTTTAAAGACAAGACATGCTCAGGACGCTCTAGACCAGCCATACTCAACCTGCGGCCCGCGGGCCGCATGCGGCCCTCCAAGCATTTTTTGTGGCAAAAACTTTTTATGTGATTTCGGTTATCTAACTGAAAATCCGCCTTAATTTTATACGATAATCTTTTTTCTCGGCATTTACGGTTTTGAACAATGAATTGATTTCGGTGATAATTTCGACGATGATTTTTAATGATGATTTTGGAATTTTCGAAAAAATTTTATAGTGATTTCGGTGATTTCGAGTGAAAACGTACCAGTATTTCGGAAGTGGTTTACCGCTATTTATTTTTGTTAAATGGGTTTGTTGAAATACTGCAATATTGTGCCCAATCCATTTGTTTTGTTATGACTAAAGCCGTCACTGTCCTTTCTCGATTGTTTCGAAATCCACGAGATGTTTACGTCACCCTTTCTTTCCGCGATACAGCTAACCTTCAACAACCACTAGATATTAACACGTGATGTCCGAATCTTCTTGGTGAACGAGTGATTGGTCAAGATGTAACGGATGATTGGTCAAGTTGTAACGAGTGATTGGTCAAGCCATAACGAGCGAATCTTTATGTGAAAATTCGTAAATAAGTATTAGTGGTAACAGATGAATTTGAATTTTAACCATTCTTTCTAATAGACAACTTGTATCGAAAGATTCAGCTATCCAAAATACATTCCACCAGAAAAATAGATTTAGTTTATCAATGGGTGAGTGTAACATTCGGATTTAAATGCCAAACTCGCACAGTATTTATTAAGAGGGGTGCATGAAAGGATAAAGCACAGTTTTGAAAATAAAAAAAATTTGTTTTATTTATTAGAGGTCCCCACTAACCAATTTTAGATAGATGGCCTAAAAAAGGTCATCACCCAAAAATATTGTGGCAAATATACTAATGTGGCCCGAAGGAAAAAAAGGTTGAGTATGGCTGCTCTATGCTAAACGGTAAACTATAAATACTAGGGTAGTACTCTCGCGGGTTTTGTTCACAAAATATCCTCTAGATAAGGGATTCCCAAAGTGGTCGATACCGACCCTTGGGGTCGAAATTGTTTTCTCAGGGGTCGACATAAACGAAAACTGATTTTGGGGATCGACGAGGTCTAAAAATCGACCCCTATTAACACAAGTTCTTATTTCAAACTTTCAAGATACTGTATAAGTTGTATTACGTGTACCAACATGTTATAGGAATTACTAATATTTTAATAGGAAGTATCACAAGTTCGTACAAGATAAAAAACTCAGCAAGTCAATAAGCGAGGACAAGTTTGTGCAAGATAATGAGTTCTAGCGTTTTGACTTGCTCTGTATTTGACACATATACGCGATTTAACATCAACGAAATCATGATCAAGTTCAAGTCCAAACATGCTCCTCATATTTTATTTTATAACAAGCTTCGTTAGGTTGAAAGTTCATTTGCGTTTTGAAATTTGTTGGAGCTTGAATAATAATACATTCATCTACTTATTTTATTTCAAGAGATTACAAAGTGATTACAAAGTTAAAGTGAATTAAAATAAAGTAATTGGAAAAGAATTTACAAAGTGCTTAGGTCCTCAACAATGTATTGCACAAGCTCGCACATAATAGTATAAAGAGAATTCCTTTTAGCAATAACACCGTGTAGGGACGAATAGACGAGATGGGTCGATACGTGGAAAACATTTTATGCAATTTCTTCCATACCAGCAGATTGTTCTCCAGTTGGACGAGTTTACATAACAAGGCAATGAAGCTTTGTTGATAGGATATTGATGTTCGATATATTAAATATGAAAATATGTGCCAAGAACTGCTTTTTGCTACATATTTAGAGGCTGATAACAGAAGAGAATCAATTTTTCAGGCCGTGCAACGTTTGTTTACCGACAAAGCTTTTCCATGGAATAACACTGTTACTGTTGCGACTTAAAGTAATAACTGCCTGAGCTACTGGTCATTCACTGTGTGATTCACAGACAGCATTTGCAATCAAAAAATCTGAGTCCTAAATTGCACCTGTCTTTACAATATGTTATAAATGCTGTCAACAAGATTCGAAGCAATTCTTTGAATTCTCGATTATTTGCAAGTCAATAAGCGAGGAAAAGTTTGTGCAAGATAATGAGTTCTAGCGTTTTGACTTGCTCTGTATTTGACACATATACGCGATTTAACATAAACGAAATCATTATCAAGTTCAAATCCAAACATGCTCCACTATGTGAAGAAAACGACGAAGTCTTTACTCGGTTACTTCTGCACGTTGAAGTTCGCTGGCTATCAAAAGGACATTTAGGACGTTTAGGACATCCGGACGTCGCCGTTTCGGTGTGGCTATTTCGGCGTGGCCATTTGTACGTCAGGCCATTTCGCCGTTGACCGTTTCGGCGTCGTGAATACTATTATTTGATATGTATGTTAAACCGGCTGTAAGTTTTATTATGAAATAATTAAAGTATTGAAATAAGTGAGGTATTGCATAGGAATAGGATAAATGCTTTAATCTGTTTTTCGAGTACCTATCAGAATTATAATAGTAGTGCAATAAATATTAGTGTATTTAATATTTTATAGGAACATTAGTATAATAATAGTGAAGTAAAGAAATTGTTCCAAAGCAACCCAGAGTAATCTATTGCGATTTCGAACAGGCAGCATTCAAGACAATGGAAGATTGGTTTCCAGGCGTCACTATAAATGGGGGTCTCAGGTATCAGTTCATTTTGAAAAGTGGTCTTTTGCACAAACTAGTTTGGAAATCCCTTCTCTAGATGAAGACTGGACAAGAATTTTTTATTTCAGATTATCCGTTTGCGTAGTGTTCTCAAAAAATAGAATTTAATAAAAAACACATTTAAAAAATTGCAAGCCGATAGCCCGGGGGCAATTGAAAGAGGATCAGCAGGACAACGAATATATAGCTTTATTCTAACAATGTAGCAGATGCTTTTTTGTTTATAAAAGATCGAACCTTCTTAATATGTTAAAGTTACTGCCAATTTTGTTAATTTAATTAATAATTTATTTGATATTTTCAATGTAATGGTGTTATCATTATAGGCTGTTGAAAATGTTTGGGCAATAGGAAAGAAATATCCCCTATATGTCGAAATTCCCCCAAATACTCCACCCCCAGAATGTCAATGTGTATGGAACACTAGTGCACCTGTTTTACCAGAATTATCTAATGCATCTACTGTGAATCAAACTTTATGTTTGGTGAGTAACGATAAATGAAATAATTGTTTGATTTTAATTATAAAAATATTTTTTAGCAACTCAATGGAACGCTTTCAGCAGGATGTTTTACACCACCATACACTCCTGATATATTTTTAATGTCAATTTTGTTGTTCCTGGGAACTTTTGTGATATCTATTCATTTAAAGGATTTTAAAAATGCTCTCTTTTTTCCTTCTAAAGTAAGTATAATACTCTTATATTCTTAATTAAAATGGCGGATCTTATTATTCTTGTTATAATCGCTCTTCTAGCTTTTTGCTCGCGAAGATTGCATTATTTAAAACAGGGTTGTCAAACTTAAACTGGCCGAAGGGTTGCTGGGCAAATTACAATCGGTTAGCTTTCTCCTGAAATAACCGGTAACAAGTGGAATTTCATTAGTTTATTACTCTTTTATCTTAAAAACCAGTCGTAATCCCATAGACAGTATGGACACTTTTGCTACAACATATCAAAAATTTATAACATTTGACAGATCGCCACTTTTCCGTAGAAGTTAAAAATCACTATGTATACGATAGAAATATGTGAAGTTTCTCTTGATTTACTCTGTATAAATCAATTTTACCAAATTCAGCATTAAACTCTCCTAATATTTCAACGTAATATATATTATTCTTAGTTGCATTTTCATTAATTATTTAACTATTTCAGGTACGTCAATTCATAAGTGACTTTGCTGTAATCATAGCAATATCGGCGATGACCCTTTTGGATGTAATTGTCGGCATTTCTACACCAAAACTGGAAGTACCTCATGAATTTAAACCCACGCTACCAGGCAGAGGGTGGATAATTTCTCCATTTAACCATAATCCTATTTACTCGATATTCGTTGCTATACCTCCAGCGCTTCTTGGTACTATTTTGATATTTATGGATCAACAAATCACTGCAGTTATCGTTAACAGAAAAGAGTTTAAATTAAAAAAAGGTATGTAATAATTTTGTATACATATAGAGTGTTTCCAAATTCGCACCACACAAGGTCCGAAGTTATTCCTCATTATCGTAACTTAAAACAACTGCGTGAACTACAGTATCGTAGTTTGCGCTAAGATATTTGACAATTTTATAGTTAAGTTAAACCTACTTGCAATCAATAAAAATAGACTTTTTAGCAAACTATATAGACACTATTAAATAAATAATATATGACGTGCCAATGCAGAGCGGCGTTCTCCTAATACATCGGAGTTGCTCCCTGGCAAAGCGGCGTTTTCCTAATAAATCAGCGTTGCTTCCTTGTAGAGCGGCATTGCTCTCTGATAGAGCAGTCTGGATCCTATTCTTTCCTCATGGACATCTTGTCCTGACATCAAAGGGTGTTGTTTGGGGCTGGTCGAAAACTACGTCAACCCATGTGACCCCAAACTTCCTCTAATCTGAATATTTTCCTAAAATGTTACCAGTCACAGTCTGGGGAAAAGGTCCTTAGAGCTTATCCACTCACACCGCGACAACCGTTCCTCTAGTTTTGTCTTATTGTGACACTGCGTGGGAGTTGATCGGAAATATACCTCGATCGGTTGTCCACAAACTTTCTTCTTTTTCTTCCTGTCTTTCACCTGGAGCTCCTGGAACTCCTCGTCGCATATCTGTAACAGATTATTTACACATTACTATATAATTACTTTACATATCAATATTTTCTCTGTCCCTATTGGGCAGTCCAAACCTCTTTAAATTATCGTACATATTCCAGGTCAGCTATTTACAGACTAATGCAGGGATAAAACCCAATAAGCCAACTACATAGTGCCGACCACACAATGCTTTATCAGCAAGCAAAAAGGGATAATATTCTAGCTATCTAGCCATAACCACATACAAATTTAAAAGCAATTTTAAAATTCAAGTACCAGCCTGAGAATCCTGGAAACAGGGACCTCCCGTATAGGCTGAACTCGTCTGGTACACAGATGGTTCAAAAACCAAGGAAGAAGCCGGTGCTGAAATCTATGGACCCAAGTCGAAAACAACGATTTCGCTGAGTTTAGGAAAATCCATACAATACTGTGCAAGAGAAATATTAAATCAGCAAGTATCAGGCAAAATTATTGCCATACACTCTAAAGGCAATTCTCTCACCATCAATCAAATCACGACTGGTGAAAGAGTGTCTAGAAGACCTAGCAGAGCTAAGTAGTCAAAATAAGGTGACCCTAGCCTGGGTTCCAGGCCATGAGGGATATCAGGGCAACGAAAAGGCCGACGAATTAGCCCCAGAAGGCTCAGATAAGGCCATGACAGGCCCCGAACCCTTCTGTGGAGTTGCTAAGGCATTGTGTAAGGCATCTATTGAACAATGGATGCAAAAAAAAACTCAGGACTGGTGGATCAACTATCCAAGACTAAGACAGGCTAAACAGTTCATCAAGGAACCATCGGCCAAGTTCACAAAAGACCTATTGGATCAAAAGCATCAAACCGTTAGGATAACAGTAAGTCTTCTTACTGGACACTGTCGCCTCAAAAGGCGCATGAGTGTCATCAATCCAGCAGAAGAAGCAACTTTGTGCAGGTTCTGTGAAGAAGAAGAGAAAACATCATTCCACGTCCTGTGCCAATGTGAAGGCCCGGAATGAGGTTTCTAACATTGGGTGCAGAAAAGCCAAATGCATGCAACTACATGCAGGAGCCAATGTCAAAGCTACTAAGTCTAGTAAAAAAGACCAGGCTAGACGACATACTCTGAAACAAACGGAGTCCCACAATAGATCTAAAAAGGTCACGGTGAATAAGGACAAATAACGTCCAACTCCTAATCTAATAATAATAATACTCTCCCTAATTCACCCCCTTACGAGTGAATTTTAACCCCAAAAGCTGAGCTTGTGAAAGTGACGGCTATTATTATTATTTGCCGTGGCGCTCCGGGGTGACTTAAAGATGATTGATGGTGCCATTTGACTTACAGGTGAGGAAAACCCGGAAAACCCGGAAACCCACCATCATGGAGACGGTAATGCATGGCGATTTTATAATCTGCATGTCATATCAACAGAAATTAAATTTTTAATAATACGGCACACATCAAATCCTATACCGAACCATGCAATTTAATTAAAAATCCACTGGTCTGGGATTCGAAGCCCGGCAGTCTCGGACCATAAACTTGACTATAAATACGTTAGACTGCTACACCACCGACCCGATAATCTAATCTTATCTAATCTACTATATAATCACTTTACGTATCAATATTTTCTCTGTCCCTATTGGGCAGTCCAAACCTCTTTAAATTATCGTAAGATGTGCTTATTCGTACATATTACACTTGTCCGCCTTTTTCTTCTTTTCCGTGCATGTAGAACATGTCCTCTTCCTCATCAAACTCTATTTGCTGCTGGCTCGGTAAACATCTTTATTCTAAAACACTATATATCTATATTAATCTTTTTAATCCACAAAATTTAAACCTTAAAAAACCATATATTCCTGAAAAAAAATTATTTAAAAAAATGCCAATTTTTCATAAACCCTTTTCCTGCAAGTCGCTGTATGAAAAATTATCTATTAACTATCCATTTCTCATAACCTACCAAAAATTTGGTAATAATGTACTTTTCATAATGCTGAATTTGCTGAAATTGAAATCTTGAATAATATTTATGTACGCCGGTCAATGTCAATTATTATATAGATAGTGACAATATTTACTCATAACTTCTATATCATCTGAAGTAAATAGATACACTTTTACATCAATCATTTTAATATTTTCTTTTCGTAATTCTTATTCAATATTATAGTTATCAAATGAATTAAAATCCTTATTTTAAATAATTTTCTCTTTATTATTGAAATGCTGACTTTTTGTACACAGAGAAATATAATATTATAAATAAAATTGTATACTATTTTTGAATTGACCTTATTGTTTGTTGTTACATTTATTATTTCCAATGTCGATGTTTCTTTACACAACTACTTAGTTAAAACATTATATTAAATAATCATTTATATATTTACTTTCTGTTTTTTAATAATTCAATGTGCTAATTTATTTATTAAAATTAAATTTAAATTTCTTATTTAATTCTATATTTAATACAAGACACTTATCCAACAAAATTACAAAATTTTAGAAAAATTTCTATAAAACTTGATATTTCTCCTTATTACTTTAATAACTCAAACTTTCCCTATCTCCAACCAATTAAATACTATTAAAAAAATCCCACCACTGTTACCAAATGTAGCAACCAACTAGCCTAAAGAACCACCGCTTGCCACCAAATGTAACAACTAACTACTAGTCTAAAGACCATTTGTAACTACTGATAGGTCTTAAGCTACTGTTGTTAATATACTATTAAGAGATTAAGGCAGCACTGTCACCAGCCAAAGGGTTCTGGAATCCAGAAGGAACATCCAATCACCAGTGGCAAATAAAAATAATAAAAAAATTAAATTAAAAGAACAACAATTATCTCTTAATAGTATAGTCGGGTGGTTCTTGGTAACTAGTTTTTAGACTCTTCTAGTCCTTTAAGTGTGGATACGCTGAGGCTTCACAAATGCTTGAAAGGGGAGGAGAGATTAATAATAAGTATTAAAACAATAACAAATGTATATTTTTGAAAGAGTAAAACCAAATTTGGTAGATTTTCACTTTTATTTTAAAATTTAAAAATAAAATTTTTTAAAAAAAAAACACTAACATGACATATGTTTCGAAGTACAACTTCTTTTTCAAATGTGACTATTTACAATTCGGTATCCAATATATATACGAAATAATTTAACAAAACAAAGTACTTAAGAAAACATCAATAACATAACAAAATAAACTAACTATTTAAGGTAAATAAGGGTACTTAGGTAATTATAATATCCATCAAATAACAATAAGATAGCCCATTACCGGGATTATCTTACAGAAAACTGGGAAAGAGATTTAATAAGGGTGAATTATTAATATCTAATTGATCATTTAGTAAGTTATCTGAATTTTTAAATCTATTTATTTTAAGTGTTTCTAAATGGTTTAATTTAAGGCTCTTATTTCTAAAAAAATTTTTATTTTTAAAATAAAAGTGAAAATCTACCAAATTTGGTTTTACTCTTTCAAAATTAAATGGATTTTCATCAAGTAAAGGCCGAAACAATAAATAATTACAAATGTATATATTTAAAATAGGTACAAAATTGACTTAATAGTCTCAAGAATAAATAAATCAAATTATATTTTGGGAATAAAGCACTACTTGATAATATATCCATACGCTTAGTAAAAGAACCTATGATTTAGATAAACTTCCTATTGAGTTATATAGTTTAGACTTAAACAATTAAAAATATTACTGGAAACTTAAGCTATATAATAATCTAAAATATATATAAGATAAATATGATCTCAGGAGGAAAATGTAAAATTGGCATTTATATGTAACTCATTTAATTATCTCAAACAAAACACTATAAAAATAAGTTAAAGATATTTACCCATAGTTCACAAATCGCTGCACAAAAACTTTACACATTACTTTGTTTTGTCCCAGAGATCTCTCCTTCGGCGAGAGTCTGAACCTTAGTTCTCACTCGAGTCTTTTCGTTTCTATCTAGTCTCTCTGTATAAATCCAAAATTTACATTCTACCTTGAATTCTCTAGTACAATGTAAGTCATTGATTAGATTAATAACCTAATTGTTTACGTTTTTGCAATACGTGTTTTCTTTTAAATTTTTAATTTAAAACATTAAAAAATACGTTTTTAGAATTTTTGGTAAATTCTTTATATTTTCAAATAATAATGCCAATTATTGCATTTACAACTAATAAAAATTGTTTAAAAAACTGGAAATTTTTAAAACTTGGAAAATATTCCCTGGGAGTATAAAATTACACAAAATGTACAAACAAAACTGACAATAATTCTCGTGCTTGTTTTGACAGTTGTAACTAAATGTTGGCGCTGCTATTTTAAATAGACCCAGGAGATGGAGAAAGTAATAGAAAAAAAAGGGTAGATACTGGCTTCAAACAAATCCACATCCTTATGTATATTTCGTTTGTTTTTCTGAGGTTTTAAACATATCAAAGTTTTGAATTCAACGACGACTTTAGGCACAGAAAATTCAAATTATCCCATTTAGTTTTAAAAAAGGAATATAGTACTAATAATATCCGTTGTAAGAAGTGTAATTATAGTTAATATTGAATTTATTAAAATATTGTTAATTTAATTTCAGGTTGTGGATATCATTTGGATCTCTTCGTTCTCTCTATTCTAATTGAAATATGTTCTATAATGGGCCTTCCTTGGTTTGTTGCCGCAACTGTACTTTCTCTGACTCATGTTCATTCTTTGAAAATGGAATCGGAGTGTGCTGCACCTGGAGACAAACCTCAGTTTTTGGGAGTGAGGGAGCAGAGAGTTACCCATATTTTAATATTTTTGTCGATAGGTCTCTCTGTGTTTTTGACACCAATGTTGGGACACATTCCAATGCCAGTATTATTTGGAGTATTTTTATATATGGGTATTTCGTCTTTGAAAGGATTGCAATTTTTTGACAGGATCCTTATTATGTTCATGCCAAATAAATATCAACCGGATTATATGTTCCTGAGACAAGTAAGTAAAAATTAAATATTTTCCAACATAGCCCACGAATCGAAATTTGATACAACGAAAAACAATTTGTTAGTATTATCCCAGTATAAGTAATAAAACAGTAGCGACAGTTCATTGTTTATAAAGGTTCCATATTTTTCTGCGCTTGTCCGTATATAAGCGGCAAATACGTCAAACTGGCGTATGTGAATTGTCAATGGATTAATGGTAGTTGATTGTTTTGATTATCTGATTGGTTTTAATGCACATTTTAATACATTTTTATTATATTTAGACTTAGTTTTCATCTTCCATTTATTGTGTGATATTTTATTCAAACAAAGGGACAATATATTTTAAAGTTACTTTTTTCAGTGTAGAAATAAGGGACAAAAACGTCAACTGTCAATAAAAATCTGACCACTCCGACATCAAAGGAGCCGACTCAAGCTGTCGCTACTGTATTATTAATTATACTGGGGTATTATAAAAAATGTTAACGGATAAGGTTGTTGGATATTGTATAAATATTAATAAAATATAATTTTAATAAAAATAACGGAAATATTTTAGAACATTAAATAAATATAACTCTACATCTAAAATGTTGGTCATTTTGATGAATACATAAGTTTATTCTTGTTCTTAATGAAACCATTATTTTTTCGTGGGGTTTCGTGATATTTTGCAGTTCATTAAAAGTATTATTATCCTTTCTTTTAATTCTTCTATTTTATCTACTTCTGTAGCATAAACTTTTTGTTCACATACTTCCATAAGGCATTAGGTCAGGTGATCTAGGAGTCTTTATGTACATACTCATACTATTTTTGTACTAATATTAAGTCCGTAATTTACAGCTTTTCCTTGTTTCATATTTTAAAAAATCACGGTATCAACACACCGTGTAATATAACCGCAACTAAACTCATATGCACGCAAATGCTTTCTCACAGTAACTGACTTGTTCCCAACCGAAAATTTACCCTACTGTTAGAGAAGAATCCGTTTACTGTTATTTAATTGTAACGCTAGATTTGATTAGATTTGAAAGGAGCTGGGCACCGCAACCTTTTCAGACCGTTTTTTATAACCCAAGAGAACACTGCAAATTTTTACCGTCATCTGATAACGAAATGAAATATATCCCAAAAGCATGGAAAAACGTTGTACGTTACCAAATGACACCTGTGCCAATCCCAATCCTGAGCAAAGTGGCTTAAAAAATTATTTTATATTAAAAAAATCAAATAAGGCATGACAGCGCTAATTTTGTTTGCCCTTAAAGTTTTCCAGAAAATAACATTCAAATATATCTTGAAAGTGAAAAATTTTCTTCCTCTTAACATCACACAAAAACATCTATCCACGATTAGTAGGTAAAAATCATTAAAAATATGAATCAATTTTTGCTGATTTAAATAGTAGTTTGTGCAACAAGTGCGAAAAGTACTTTGCGCACATGTTGCACACAATACTTTTTCTACGATCACGATTTTAAGAATTAAAAATAAGAAACTTATTTGAAATAATTTGTAACCATTTTTATTAATAATATATTATGGGAATGTAATTTAAAAATTATAAATTTAACTTTTAATTAACTTAATTTAACACTTAATTTAATTTAATTTAATTAATTATATTTAACATTATTTGATACAAAAGAAACACATTTTTTATTTGAAATTATAATTTATGGTAAAATTTGAGCAATTTTGAAGTGTTACTCCAGGTGTCTCTCTATTTTTTACCAAATTCTCAGTAACTGTCGAAATATTTGCTGATGATGTCGAAGGCTTTTCTTGTTGGTTAGATGAGGAGTCTACTGAGTTTACAATTTTATTGGCTATCTCTATTTTATTTGAGATGGCGTCGTCAACATAGCTTTCTGCAATATTGCTTGATCGCCATCCACCATGGCGTTTAAGAGTTAATAAATCTCCTCCTGCATTGGCTAAAATAGTGGCAGATGAGCGTCGAAAAGAATGGCCAGTATAAAGATTAGAGTTTGGCAATTGTAAAAATTGTGCCACTTGTTTAGGCATATTGCCAATTTTGTTAATTCCGACAATTTGCCTTGTGCATTTACCCCCTTGATAATTCACAAAAAGACGTCTGACAATGACGTTATCAGGGCGAAGACAAGCGTACTTTTTGTATATATTATAAAATTTTCCAGTTACCGTGAACGATCTTTTAATTTTGGTTTTCGTGCTTTGAATCCTAACCAATAGGGCAGTCTTTAGATCTTCCACGTCATCTAATTTTATATTCCACAATTCTACTCTTCTACAGGCACCAGTTAAACCGATCGCAAGGACAGTCTACAAGTTTAAAATACATTAATTTTAGATATGTTTTTTTGTTTTTTTTTAAAGAAGAATTTTAATATTAATTTTAATTATTATAAAAAAAAGCTGGCAGGCACTGTGGGATTTGAAGCCCGGCCGTTTTTATCTCAGCCCAACATTCTACTCTCTGCGCTACGTAGGCTTGTAACTGTATTTCGCGAAAACATTATAGTTATTTAAAAAACATATTTTAAAATTCGTTCTTTTTAAATATTTTATATTATAACTAAGTTATTAAACTAAATTTTAAAAATCAAATCAGTGTGTTACCTTATTTTAAATGTAACGTTTATTTACCTTCGTTAATAAATATTTATAATCGGGTGCTTCCTTCAAAAACTTTTGGATTTCTTCAGATGTTAAGGTTTTTGATTTTTTGGGCTTGTAATTATCATTTTGTCTTTTTAAAAATGCTCTTAATTTTACGTATTTCGAAATTTCCACATTGTTTTTTATACTTAATGTACTTCGCAACATTGAATATTGTGACCATAGTGTCGAAGCTTTATAAGATTTTGATTGTTCTTCAAAATAGGCGAGAATTACATTCTCAGAAAATGATGGTATTTTCTTATTTTTCCTCCATTCCATAAATTTTTGATAAGCACATTCATACTTTTCTCTTGATTTTTGAGGCAAAAGGTTTAAAGTTGCATTCAATGTAATTTCAACAATTTCAGGAGGTGTGTTTTCCATATATTCAACTTCTGAATCTGAATTATTATTGTCAATTCCTTCCATGTCGAATTATACCTATATTGTATAATATGATACGTCGTGTTATCAAATATTTAAATTAAAAATTAATAGGTAGGTAACTATTATGTATTATTTTTGTATGAAAATAATTCAAATCTTATTTCAAATATAACAAATGTCAAAATATGATATTACGAATCACGAACTGTCAGCAAATGCAGCCTCCTACGATAGATGTGTGGGAGATTAGTGTAATAGTTCTCTACTGTTCTCCACGCATGTGTAGTGTGCGGTACAGGAAATTCTGCATGACTTTTCGCACAGTGTAGGAAATTATTAACTTTGAACGCAAGTAAGCCATGTCTATTTGTATACTTTCTATAGTGATCGTAGAAAAAATTTATTTGTATACCTATTGTGGTGATTCATTTTGACAGGTTGCCATAGAAACGACAAAAAACTACTATGATTATGGTTTTAAATAATTGTCTAACAAGAGTTTATAATTATTATTGACTATCTCTGCAAATGGTTTATACAATGCCATCCTTCATCCTTTCACACATAAACATGGTTTAAAAGGTAGGTAAAAATATTAGTAATACAGGTTTAAAAGCTAGGTTCACAATGAATTAGGATTGTAATTTTCAGGGAAAACACATGTCTTATGTGATTTTTTGAATAAAAAATTTTTTTTTTAACCATTTTGCTTAGGATAGGGATTGGCACAGGTGCAATTTGATAAAGTACAATGTTGTTACATGCCTTTGGAACATATTTCATTTCGTTATCAGACGACGGTCGAAATTTGCAGTAGGCTCTCATACTATTAGAGTATGTGGTCTATCTTGGTCTCTTTTATTAGACTTATGGTCAGTATTTTCACCTCTGAGTAAAGTTGAAAGTAACTACTTCCTGATTAAACTATAGGGCTACTTATTTTTTGTTATTCTGTCGAGTAAACCTACATGTAACTTTAGCCAATGTTCCCTATGTAGCTGACGACTTCATCGAGTGGCACTTTTGTAAATAAGGAGATGATGTGAAGAAAGCTGATGTCGTTAGGCGTTAGGTGATACTCTTTAAGTGTTTAATGAAGTGCGTAGAGTCTCGCATATAGGTTTTGTCTTGTCCACGTGTGTTTATAGAATTTCCGCCAGATGTTTGTCCAGGTTGTAACTTAGTGATCCTATGGGACTTGATATTGGTTTTGGTGGTACGTTATCTTTGTAAATTTTTGGTAATCTATAGTCTTAGTGGTAGAGCTTCAATAGTGCAGATTTTCTTCTTTGTCTCCGGTGGTAGTGACAACTATTTTATTAATTTGGTGGTTTTTCTTAAAATCTTGTCTGATGGGTGTTTCGATAATCTTCTGCATGTGTATCTTGATTGACCAGATTATTAAGCTTGCTCCTGTAGTCCGATGTATTCATGACGACTGTTGCATTTCCTTTGTCGGCGGGTAGAAGTTTGTTGTTTTCGTCCTCATTGAGACTTTTTATAGCTGCCTTCTCGCCTCTTGAAATATTATTTTTGGTGGTTTGACATTCCGGTTTCTATATTGGCAATGATTTCTTCTGTAGGTATTGTCTATGGGATTACACTAAAATTTTCTCCTTTGGCTAGTAAACTTGTTTTATCGTTTCATCATCCGTGAGTGGCCGATTTGAGAGATTGATTACAGTCTGTTTCAAATTTATCTTCGGAGTCTAGAGTGGTGAAATACCTTCTGATACAATGTACAATGATTATTCTTGGCTGGAAACTGTAATCTAAGATCTGTTTAAAGTTTATATCATAAAGTTTATATCATTGTCATAAGAGTCCATTTCTTGATGGAACTCAATCATCGCTCAATGTTGATGGTTTTCCTATAAAAGAGTACCAATTGTATCCATTTACACAGTTTTCTGTTTTAGAGTTGGGTATAAAACACATTACTATTTTATAGAAACTGGAACAAAACGA